GAGGAGGGTCAAGAATGCCGGTTTTTGACCCTATCAGAAATTCATCCTAACAATATTAAATCGATTTTAGGCATAACGGATGCTTAAAAATGTAATAAAACCATTTTTCTTAGATGTACAGAATCGTATAAATTATATTTCTCGGGCACAATTTAAATAAAAATACTTGTTTATAATCATAAAAGTAAACTCTTACTCTTTCCCCCTCTACTCCCCCTCCCCTTTCCCGCATAATATCTAAAAGACACTTAAGGAGGTTTATCGTGTACGGAGGTACATCTAAAAGTCTAACGAGAGTTTCTGTACATTCGCTAGTGACTAAAGTAGTAAGCCTTTAGAATTGACAACGTTGCATTTGGTTGGCTTTGTTTGGATTATGTATCTTGCAAGTACCTAATCGATTTCTACGAGCTGTCATACGGTTCTTTAGATATCGGTTTCCTATTTATACAAGTTGCTGTAAAAACTGTTTGTGAATTGCTGCGCATTCTAAGTGGAATGACCAAAAAAATCTGCATTCTCATAAGACTCTGTCCTAAATCGTGAAAAATTATTTTATTAATATCTCGTCTCTTAGGTATCCAAACTAGTCATAATTTTTTTGAGGATTTTCTTCATATTGATAAGCTTATATTAATTTTTTTATGAATATTTGTTCGTCAATTCCAAGTCAGATAAACCTCCTTAAGTAAAGAATTGAATATAAAAGAAATTCTACATAATGTAAAACATTTATTTAAAGGTCTAGAAAAAATAATATTCTACTAGATTTAGCTATAAGTAAACCTTCCAGTCGCCAGCACTTCACAGAAGACTCACTTTAAATCAGCACCCCAATCTGTGAGAGGCAAGGAGACTCACATCAAACTATAACAAAAAATATCAGAAATGAACTGTACCTTATATTATACTTAAACCCTATTTTTATGGCTTAGAGAAGCCACGCGGCCTCAGCGGCTCAGAATACTGAAATCCGATTTTACATCGTCATTGCGATAGTGTTTACAATAGTTTTTTCGTAGTTAGTGTCAAAAATGGCTTACGTGTTTAGCAACTCGGAGTTGATGGATATCGTTTTAATGTATGGTGAAGCAAAGTAACAATTGTCTTGGTGATTGATGTATGGTGAAGCATTTGTGTTATGGTGAAGCAAGACAACATTTGTGTTAGTTCGTAGAAACTGAGTATGACGGACCAAAATGTGTTTACACGTCGGTAGACAAAATTTTGAGCAGTTGCTGTAACATCAGATATGTCAAATTATTTTATTATTTAAAACCACAAATTAATTTTATTAATTAATAATAACAATAGCGGCAAAAGCAGTTGAATTTGCTGATATAAAATAGGTGCTGTAAAATTTTATTTATTTCTTTCCTTGTGAAATTCTTTCAAGTTGTTATCCTTTTTTATTATACTTTGCCGCCATGCCGGTGGCTTTGTGCGAGGTCAGGTTCTACAGTAGACCAGTTTCCAGTGTCGTGCAGTAGAGTATTTTTAAATAATTTTCGAACTGCCCTATTTAATTTTTTCTTTACAAAATTGTATTTGTAAGAATCCCTTGACACTCAGAATTTTTTTTATATGTTCTGAACCACCCTGTATAATTGCAATAGAATCCATGGAAACTGTTTTTATTCCTTCATTAGGTTGAAATTTTCACATTTCTATTCGAAATACGCATAAAGTTGTGAAAATATCGCCTTTTGGTTCTTGTTTTTGTTTTCACCCTGCTGCTACGGCTCTATAAATAGCCATACTTATTGGATATGTCGATTTGTTGTCGCAAAAAAACCCAACGGTGCCCAGAGGGCGATGTAGATAAACAGCAGCATAAAAAAATTTATACTTCTCGTATCGACGACTTCGCCGGACTAATACCTGTTTATTCCTGGCTTCTCCTGAAATCTGGTAGCCGCTTACCAATAAAAAGGGATGAATTTACCAGAGAACATAAAAGTTTTATGAGTGTGGGGCGTAAATATAACGTATTAGTTTTAGATTGGGAGAAAATTGACCTCATAAGAAATTCAAAACAATGCTTTTACTGATTCGAGAGCCGAAAGCTGCGTTAAAGACTTGGGGTTAATATTTATAACTCGCCCTTTCGTAGGCCATTACTTTGACTTTTCTTTATTTATTAATTTCGTTGCAGTGGCTTTGCTTCCGTACAGAAATAATCGGTGTGGGAGGACCACACCGATTATTTCAAAACAGACTGTCACTGGATTCTAAGAAAAAGTGTTATCATGATTTCATCAGTAAATTTTAAGTTGAAAGTTATATTAATTGAAATAATACTTTTTACATGTTTACAATAACAGTTTAAGTACAAATTTCACAAAATTCCAGCAAGATTCAAATTATAAATAGTTTTAAGATACTTAGTCACAGGTGATTCGTTTCTATTACTGACTGCACTGTACAGGCTGCCCAAAAAAATGGTATTTTCCAAAAATTTAATCTCAAATCACATACAATAGCCTCCCAATGCAACTGAACATTTTGTTGTATCACTCCTATCGTTCAACGAACAGTAGAAATTTGTTTCAGTTTTATTGAAACACAATATTATTGATCAATAGCGCTGAACGGATATTGATCAATGAAGTTGACTAATGAGAACTCGCCTTAAACATACTCATTATTGTCTTTACTTCAATTAAACTTTCCCTGTAAACTTGCCTCTTACAATTTTTTTTGTGTATGAGTAGTCCAAAATAGCAATTCTGTAAACGATTTGAGTAGTAAGAATTAGGTTACGAAATAATCAGATAAGCTTATTGTTTACAAATATGTGTTTTGTGTAAGGTAAAGTCGGAGCAAATGTAACTCCAAAGTATTTTATGTAATTAGGTGTATGTAATTTTTCTTTCTAGTGAATATAACGATATTACACTTGAAAGAAGCACTAACGTTAAATCAGTATTTTCACATCAGCGACTACATCGAGTGCATTATGTAAACTGTAACAACCAGTAACGGTTTTTTTTCTCACAATAGTTTAAAATCATCTGTGTTACTCATGTGATACCTTATTTATAAATATGACTTAAAAAGTTGAAATATTGAGTCAGACACACCAAACCTATCCAGTTTGTACAACAAGATGTCATGGTTAAGTATGTCAAACGTCTTAGAGAAGTCGGTATAGATAACATCGACTTGTCTTAACTTGTCAAGATTTTGACTAATAAATTGAATTTTCTGGGCAAATTTAGTAACTATGAGCATATACTACATGAAGGAAGCACCTCGTGTTAATAAGTGTAGACGCTGTAGAGAGAAAGGTCAAGTATGTGAAAAGTCTTAGTGAAGTCGGTATAGATAACATCGACTTGTTTTAACTTGTCAAGTTTTCGCTAATAAATTCTGGGCAAGGTTTAGTAATATTAGATTATATACTACATGGAGGAATTACCGTGTGTTAAAAAGTGTAGACGATACGTTAGGTACTTGCTCTCTCCCTCTAATCGTTGAGCAAGAGTGGTTGCGCGAGAGAGAAAGATGATACACAAACTATCTCTTTCTCTCTCAGTCACTCGTCTACGCTGTCGCTGTAAGCAAGCTTCCTTCATGTACTATATGCTCTAAATTAGTAACAGTGGATCTGCCTTTAATGAAGTCATTTTGTTCCCACGACAACAACTCTGTCAAAGAGCTATATAAGGAACCGTGTAATAAAATTTCAAATATTTTAGTTACTACCTACACTTCGTGTGTATTGGACACACTCTAGACACGAAACTCTTTGTTAATAAATTGAAGATTGTTGTTAAAAGGGCAACGAACACAGAGGCAGTCCCTATGCCTGTATTAAATCAGATCCAGATGTCATATTTGGATTAAATTGTCTTATCCCATCATTTGATGTATTCAGCGTTTGTTGTGGATGTTACAAAATGACCTTTGCCCGGTTTTGTATAAGATTGAGAGAATAAGTCTGTAGAACTATTAACTATAGTCTATAGATCATCAATAGATAGATAGAAAACGCATTTCTTTTGATATTGACAAACAACAACATTTTGAACTATGTGTATGATGAAATTTCCGCTCTTTCCGAATCCCGAATTAAGACTGAGGGTTCCTACGTAAAAAATCGAAGTTGACCTTGAAATGACCTTGAAAACTGTTTCCAACTTCAAAGTCAAGGTTATTGAAATTCGTCACTTCAAAATTTTGCAAAGCTTGTCTAACACATTTTTTGCTAAACCTTAACTTTGCGGAGTCATTTGGGTGGAATATTCAGTAAAAAAATTGACTTTCACTTGACCTTGCGAGTTAAATGGACCCCACACATGATGCATCATCTAAACGTAGAATTGTCCGCTCTTTCCGAATCCGGAGTTGAAAATAAAGGTTTCCATTAAAAAAAACTATGTTGACCTTGACATGACCTTGAAAATGACCTTCAAGGTCATGACAATATGTGCGCTGGAGACCAGTAACTTTCATGTGAACCATTTTTTATATAACCATGTACTTTGGATTTTAGAAGGGGTGGACGGGTGGTCTGGGACACCCCGTATATATTTTGAGTGCATTACTTTCTTCTTTGTGTTTTTAATATTTTTTCCATATGTTTCGCCGCGACTGAGGAGCGACTTTAGACCCAATAAGAACCGAAATGAATATCAGAGCAGGCCTAGGGATTCTAGTAGCGAGTCCGCCCCCCGCAGAGCCTAGCCCAATAACAACAAAGGCAGGTCAAAAATTTCTTGCTAAAGTTAACACGTGGGCCACGGCATAGCATCCGAAAAACCATCTTAATTTAGATATTTACACCCATTCAACCCATTTTTATACTTATCCGAATGTTTTAGTACAGCAAAATAACAAATCTAACTCTCTAACGCCTCTCGTACATGAACTATCGAGCTGGGACATAACTTTGCATGAAACTAGACCGACCCCCGGACCCGAACTACTGCCTACATAAGCGGCATCGATTCACCCAATTCACCGCTGTTAATCTAATGCCAAATATTTGCCGACAGGGTTGTTTTCCTACTCGCACATGGACTTCGAGGCGGACCGTGACCCTGGACCAACGGGGGATCCCTCTTTGGCCGACATGACACGCTCCGCGCTCTCCATCCTGCTCAAGAATCCCAAGGGGTTCTTCCTGGTTGTGGAAGGTTAGTTACCCGACCTCATTTGCATACTTTTATTTCAGCTAATCCAGTTGGGACGCGAGCGGGTCGTACGCCGCCCGATGATTTTCGATTTAGGGGACGGCAAGCCTACTCTGGTTCTACTGAATTATACATGCCCGAATTGGTACGGGGTCAGGTTTTATTAGCGTACAAAGGGTAGAAGTGTTTTTGTAAATACTTTTTTGCGATCGCGTCAGAAGTGACAGTTTTTAAAATAGTTATTTGTTTAACCCATTTAATCCTGAAACTGTTTTTTTCCTCAAAAATTACTGTTTTTATGTAAAGTTTGTTAAAAATAGATTATTGGAGCTAGAAAAAATTGTAAAAAAATATGGAAGCTTTTAATTGGTCACAACGAGGTGTCCCTTTAAAAGGACGGTAGGATCATAGGATACCGAGCAAGCAATATTTTTTAAACATTTTATTAGTCAAATTTTACATGGTATGGTACATGAAAAAACAATCCTTAGGGTGAAGGGCTACATTACACTTATTGCAGATAAAATTTGCTTTCTTATAGCAGGACGCACATCTCCGTTGCTGATCTTGATAGAGTATGAGATGATTGAGTCCATCAAAACGAGAATATTCGTGCTGTGTTTTTGGTGCCTTCGATGGTCCCCTCTTTATAGTCCTTTTATACGTTTCCAGTAACTCAATGGCAATTGATCGTCTAAAAGCGAGCTGATCCATCTTCCCCCCATTGCACTTTTGTAATTGCCAAGAATTTTGGACTGCCATATCGATGCAGTGGGTTAGTAATGGAAAATACCATTTTTTTTTCCACGTATCATTGTTCTATACTGACTAATATTAATATTCTGGTCACTTCTATCTATCTACGCCGCCCATATTTTCGTTATATAATTTTATCAAAAACGGTTGGTCGACTTGAATATGTTTTTTCTGAGATTGTGAAAATCTTTTGACCCTATTTAGTGGGAATACTGATGACGCATTTGAAGCCAAAGTTACGACGCTATTGTCGTTCCATTTACAGATCACCATGTTATCGTCAGCTAAGGAATAATCAAAGGCACCTCTTTCGACCTTCTTTAGTTCATGTGATGATTTTAGAGGACACTGTGGGATCCGATTCTCTCTAATTGTTCCAGTACCTTTGATTTTTCGCAGTGTAAGTTCTTTTAGAAGGGACAGGTGAAATAATTATCAAAAAATAGATGAAATGAGTGATATGGCATCTTCTGTAAAACGTCAGCATATTTCAGGATCACGGCGGAACCTAATCCCATATATTTATACTGCTCCGGTAACTTTGAGGATGAGCCTTGGTAAGGGTCAAAATAATTGATGTAACCAAGTCTTGTAGCTCCCACCCATAGCTTGTAGCCCCAACGAATGGGTTTTCCACGAATGAACTGCTTGCAGCCATGGCGACCAAAGTATGACACCATGGCTTCATCCACACTGTGGTTTTCCTCTGCAGGCGCATGTTCGAAGAACTTTTTATTCAAAATGTCAAAAAGTGGTTTCATTTTTGAGTACCTATCATCTTTGTCTAATCGACCATTATCATTACAGTGAATATTTTGCATTATATAATGAAATCGGTCACGAGACATAGCAGCACACACCATTTTATTGTTAGTATCCTCTAAATTTTGCCAGTACATATTTCTTCGAGAAACAATGCAATATCCACTGAGAAGCAATATACCAATATAACAATACATTTCGTTCTTTGATATATCATCATGTAGATTTTTTTGGTGTGCGTAATTATTGCTATAATGAAGAATCAAATCAATGACGTCATCGTCAAAAAACATCTTGAAAATGGTGGCTGGAGATTGCTGGTTTCGTACTGTCTGAACTGGAATCCAAGGTGGAAAATCGGGCTGCAAATCTTGAGTCTTGTACGAGAACTTTTTCATTATTTTAGGCTTGCGCAAAACGAAGTGTGACAAGGGCCTATCGTCCTCAGAATCCGAATCTTCGGATATTACAGACGTCCCTACTTTTTCCTCAGGGATTTTGATTTCTACCTCTACCCTCAATTGAGATCCAGGTAGATTTTCCATTACAACCTGATCTTCATCACCTGAATCCTCATCAGTAACGGGATCATTGGCGTTCTCCGGAGGAAAAATTATAATATCATTTGGAATCTCCGATTCACCGATGTTTTCTAATTCTTCGCCTAATTCGGCTAGGGTTAACGGCTTTTTCCAATAACTAGAAACAAGAATATATACTTATTAGCATTTACACCGAACAGTAGTGGATTTTCCTACTGTCCTTTTAAAAGAACACCTCTTTTTTATGACCACGTGCCCATGAAAATAAATAAAAACGGACTAGTATTTTATACTCAATAACTATTTGTACATTTAGCTTCGTGATGTAAGTTACAAAAACACTATTACTTATTGAAAAAACAATATTTACATACCTCCAATTATCCATTGTCGATTCGCACTTTGCAAGAGTACCAAAAATATTCGACACGTGCCGCAAGAACGTAAACAAATCACTTTTATCCTGTTTGCGGTTGCACTAATAATCATTGAAACTATACCAATAGCGATCTTGATTTTATCGCGCTCTACATTCAGCGGCCTTTATAAAGGACGGTGGGATCAAATGGGTTAAGTAGGCAATAAAGTACAAGATTTTACGCCGCGGCTGGTATTTAATAGACGAGGCGCAACCGAGTCTATTAAAGCAGCCAAATCTTGTATTAAATCTTGTACTTTACTGCCTAGTTAAACACATTATTTTTTCGCGGATCAATTTTAATTTTAATCATAATATCAAACAAATTTATTTACACTAGAACCGTTTTAAGATTGCCATTATGTCACGAGTGTGAGCTAATATCAAAGATAGTCGTGGCGAATGTCAATTCATTATTTGTTAAACACACCAAAAAGAGATACAATGTCTTCATAGTCTCAATATATTACGGACAATCGTTCCAATATTTTATATGTATTAGAGTGAAATAAAAATTGTGGACGTTTGTTGGGTATTAGTTTTAGACTGTATTTTGACTACCGCAGTTAAAACAAAACAGAACTGACACTCAGACAAAAAATTTGACAATTGTTTTGATCGGGTCTCCATACTAACTGTTGTTTATATTTTCTGAGTGTTGAAATATCGATTTTTTGGTATATTTTTGTAACCAGTAATACCAGTATTAAAATTTGGGAGATATCCAGATTTGGGAATTATCAAGATGACATTTCAATTATATGAAAACTGTGACTAATTTGATTAGGATTTCTCGTCTTAGTTCAAATGAATATTGCTTGGGACGCAATGGAAAAGATATAGCGGTTTTAGTGATTAAAATTGTAATATACTTATTTCTTGAATAATAATAATTTCATCAGGTCGTCTGTGGTTGCCATGAGACGAGCATTATTAATTAAATAACTTAGGTACACAGTAATCGCCTTATTGATGTTCCTATTTAAATCTATAAAAATAAATATTTATTATTTGAGTTGNGTTGATCTTGATTTTATCGCGCTCTACATTCAGCGGCCTTTATAAAGGACGGTGGGATCAAATGGGTTAAGTAGGCAATAAAGTACAAGATTTTACGCCTCGGCTGGTATTTAATAGACGAGGCGCAGCCGAGTCTATTAAAGCAGCCAAATCTTGTATTAAATCTTGTACTTTACTGCCTAGTGAAACACATTATTTTTTCGCGGATCAATTTTAATTTTTATCATAATATCAAACAAATTTATTTACACTAGAACCGTTTTAAAATTGCCATTATGTCACGAGTGTGAGCTAATATCAAATATAGTCGTTGCGAATGTCAATTCATTATTTGCTAAACACGCCAAAAAGAGATACAATGTCTTCATAGTCTCAATATATTACGGACAATCGTTCCAATATTTTATATGTATTAGAGTGAAATAAAATTGTGGACGTTTGTTAGGTATTAGTTTTAGACTGTATTTTGCCTACCGCAGTTAAAACAAAACAGAACTGGCACTCAGACAAAAAATTTGACAATTGTTTTGATCGGGTCTCCATACTAACTTGTTTATATTTTCTTAGTGTTGAAATATCGATTTTTTGGCATATTTTTGTAACCAGTAATACCAGTATTAAAATTTGGGAGATATCCAGATTTGGGAATTGTCAAGATGACATTTCAATTATATGAAAACTGTGACTAATTTGATTAGGATTTCTCGTCTTAGTTCAAATGAATATTGCTTGTGACGCAATGGAAAAGATACAGCGGTTTTAGTGATTAAAATTGTAATATACTTATTTCTTGAATAATAATAATTTCATCAGGTCGTCTGTGGTTGCCATGAGACGAGCATTATTAATTAAATAACTTAGGTACACAGTAATCGCCTTATTGATGTTCCTATTTAAATCTATAAAAATAAATATTTATTATTTGAGTTGGAAGAATTCACATCAACTCCGCCAGAAATTATTGAATCAGCAAAGCAAATGGAGTGTAATTTCTAATGGAGGCCACTATTGATACGTATTTAAGTACAAAGATAATTATAAACAAAATATTTTTGTAAACGAAAAATACTATAATTATTGTAGGTGGCAATGATTTTTACTATATCTGGGGTGCATCGATGCGACGAATTACTTCAAATAAAAATCGGAGATATTTAAGATATGGGAAATATATTGTTTTTATTTTATTTATTTATTTCAACTCAAAAATTTTATGTTAACACGGAGTGTTAAGAACATCTGCAGATTTTTGATATATTCGAAGTTAAATCAAGATTTCTAGTTTTAGGGTATAAGGTTTTCTATGTACTATTATATAAAAAACTCAATTTAACCTTACCTAAATTTGTTTTACATATTATACAAAAAATATATATTAACTTGACCTTTTCTAAATTTATGTAGGCATGCATATATGTTTGTAAAGTTACGCTGGATCAGGTTAAATTTACCATTTTGTGTATTTCAAAAATTAAATTAACCTAACTTAACGTAACTTTATATAA